GCACACAACGCATGCACAAACACAAACAATTTATTGGTTATATACGACTCAGATAACTATTATTTTTCTCATGCTTTATTTTCTCAATTAATTAGGTACCCTTTGAGAAATTAGGCAACCAATTTCTGAACGTGAATCTAATATCATGTGGGAGTAGGGAGTCTCTGAACATTTAAACAAGGGAAAGGGCATTTGAGACCTCTTAAAATTTAATGACCGTAAAATTTTGCATGTTTGCTGAGCTATACTTCCAGCTAAATTTAGATTCCTATAATGTAATGTGATTAAATTGCCAGCGGACACATTCATGAGATTGATTAAGATTTTGCAGAACCTGTTTTCTTTATTGTGTAGTTAGTAACTTCTTTTATTTACATTTTTCGTGATTTTGTTTCCCTCTCTATTTTGGCAGAAAGATGCAGTAATTACAAGATTAGAGAAAGGGCTTCGGTCTTTAAGAAGAGCTGTAAGTTTTGCTCCAGAAATGTGGACTGTGATGTTGATACGTATCTTAGTGAAACCAGATGCTCATAGATTTCTAATTGAGCTCTTTTCGACGCTGGTTGACCATTACAGGATTAAACTCCCTGAAACATTTTGGCTTTGTATGTCCAGATTTCTTCACTGGTTGGACAAGAATAATGTACAACATGATTTATGAAAAAAATTATATATATATAAAGTTTAACCAGTTCACATCGTATCTTTGGTTAATGAAAATATCGTCTCAGGTATGAGTGTGGTTGGGTCTTGGTGGATATGGCACTTTTAATTTTTCTAGCTCTTGAAAAATTATGAGTCTTCAGTCCAAATGTTCTAGATCTTTCATGATTATGTTGAATTGCTTTTTGTCAATTTAAAGGCAGGCGGGCGTGCGAGCTCTTTTCGCAGGCGAATTTCCTGTGAGCCTATAGAGGTATTTTTTACCGTCTACAGGCCTGCATTGTCATTTTGAGCCAAGAGGGCGCCTAGAGAGTGTTCCATGGCCCGTATATATATGAGGAATGGCCTCCCCGAGATTAGCGCATAAAACAAAATCTAACGATTCAGTATGGAAAAGGGAGGATAATCTAGTAATCTACTACGCAATTCGACTGACTTTATAGTCCATCTGGATACAGATATACAACTATGACTTGGATTTGTATGAAAAGGAGAAACTTGAGAAGGTTAACCAAGACGCACACAAAAAAAAAAAAATAAATAAAATAAAATAAAATCTCCGACCTAAAATTGAGTTTTTGCAATCATTTCTTGTAATACGAGCAAAGTTGATCCACGTGTTGTAGCGGCATTTGTTTGAAGAAGCCAAAAAATAATTCTTAAGCATTTGGCATAGATAATTCTTTTTTGCTTTATGGATAAAAATATTTTTGGGAGTTGTAATATATACAATTACTTATTTTCAAATAAATCCCTCAACTCGTTGAATTTGTTATTTGGTCTCACGATATTTATAATCTTTTTAAAATTAATGACCCCAGTTATTACTTTTACTCTTTATTAGAGGGACTCAATTCTAAATAAATTTAAGAACTAAAAGATATGATCTTAATTTTAAGAAAAAGATGGCTAGCTTATTATGCAATAGAAAAGGGAACACCTCACATGTCCTCCCTGTTGGTCTCATATTTTAGGTGCATGTAGGAAAACTCTAATTTTAATTATTTGAGGAGGTCAACTTCTAAAAGAGTTAAGAATCGACAGGACGTGATAGCACTTTTCATGATTTGAGGAATGCGTCTCAATATAAGAGTTATGTTATGGTGTTCCCATTCGCGCGCCAAAAAGCAACTCATGACCAAGCAAAGGATAGGTGTACTGCATGCTATGCCCCAATCAAGTTAGTGGCCAGAGACCAGCAGGGACGACAACTCAGCCGGCTTGTCGGGTCGACATTCCCTCACGTCGACTCGAAAGACGGTACTTGTCGCCTTTAAAAATTAAAAATTAAGTTACTTCCTTATCTTGAACATCACTAAAAGAAGAATTAAAAAAATAATAAGAATATAAATAACAAGTTCAAGACAGAAACAGGTTTCCAAAAGTGTACAAATCTCTATCCAGCACTTCGAAGTTTCTTTTGCTTTGTTTTCTTAATATTATACGTGTACGTATATATACAATACACTTTGGCGCCTTCCGTAGGCCCAGCCAAAAAAAAAAAAAAAGGCGCGTCTACTGAATTTGTCTGTCTAGATGGGACGAGTAATCTTTTTAACGATTGAGCGTTGCATGGATGATCAGCGTTCTTTTGGATATCTTAAGTTGATTGGATGATCTCACATCTAATTTTTAAAGACTTTGGATTTTATTATTATATATGTTGCTATTATCATTTTTATAAATCACAACCACAATTCTTTTGTTTTCTTGCTCCAAAATTGTGAGTATTCCAATGGGCGTTTCGTCTTTAGTTTCTGACTCCACCGTCACGTGTTGATGTCGTGTTGATTCACAAGTCGATTGCGTCTCTAACATTTTAACAAATACTTTACCAACTAAAATTTATTTATTTATTTATTTTCTTGCACTCATCTCATATCTGCCAAATCAAATACTTTACCAACTAAAATTGAAGCTTTATCAAATAAGATGCATAAAATAATTAGTATAAATTACCTGTGCACCTGGAAAAAGTAGATTATGAGGTTTAGACAATTAAATTGAGAGCAGCCGATTTAGTTATTTTGATTTCAAATATTCTAAAATCGAACTGAATCGGAATTTTCCTAAAACCGAACCGAGACGCTAAATATTGATCGGTTCGGTCGGTTTAATTAGTATGTACCGAAAAGATCATTATTCTTTTTTAGCACAAGCATGTTATTATTGTCAAATTCCTTCCGTTGAGCAATTTCAAAGATGTGAGGGGGTAATGTGAAATTGTTGAGGATTTTAGTGGCTAATAGTAAAAACCGTAATTTTTTTAATTTGTTTAATAGAGAATAATGTAGGCGCGTACACGTATCAACTACGAGGGATGTATTATTATCATTTATTTATTATGTATGGTTGACCCGGTTCAAACAGCCGGCCTCTAGCCTCATCTCTACCCGCTTCCCCACCCGCCACGTCATCCTCGCTCCCACCCCTTTTTCTCGGCCATAGAAACCCCACACGGCAAAACTCTCCCCCCCCTCTCTTTTCAACACAAAGCCTGTTTCACGCGTTTCTCTCTCTCTCTCCTCTCTCTCTCTGCTCCCCCTCCTCCGTTTCTTTCCACCCTCCGCTCTCTGAGTTTTCCCCCAATTTTTTCGGAAATCCCTTTTCATTCTTTCCCCTTTTCGATCAAACCGTCGATCGTAAATATAGTAGATCGCCTAATTCCTCGGAATCTTCTTCTCGCTCGTTATTTTCTTTAGCTCAATTAAATCGAAATCGGAAGAGGGAAATGATGGAAGGCAGATGAGTCGCTCTCGCCTCAGGAGCTGAAGCACAGCAGCAGCAGCAGCAGCTCAGCCGTTTCTCCTGTCACCGGCGGAGGCGTCAGGTTCATCTTTGTTACTCATTTCTTGCAGATCTCAAAAAAAAAAAATAAATTGTTTGATTTGAATCTGATGATCCCAACTCCTTCCCTAATCTTGTTCTCGCGGTCGCATATTTGATAATTTGGTTATGGAAAATGCATGAAAATGAAGCGATGCCAAACTTGTTGGATAATATAACGACCTAGACATGAATAGTTCAGAAATTCAGATTAATGTTACCGTTCACCGACGACAATAATGGAAGTCTTCTCCTCTCTCCTCCCGTAGCCAATGATGGGAATTAGGTCTATTTTCTGCGTACGATTGAGAGGAGGGACTCCCACCCTTTATATAGATATTTATGATTAACCATACCCATCATGGTTTAATCACAACCGTGGGATTACACTCCGATCGATCCTATCCTTTAGATATTCAAGATAACCACCCAATTTGATAAACATGAAACTGTCTAACCAGACCATGTGGTTAGCATCCTGATCCTAACTTGAATTGATGGCAACATTAAATCAAATCCAAAATCGAGTAGGTTGGGCCACATGGGTTCGTTGGATTAATCAAACCCAACAATCCCCCACTTAGCACAACATACCTCATTTTAATTTTCAAAAAACATTTAATTTTTTTTAAAACTTTTAAAGTCGGGTGCGCACTCATTTATTTTAGAAAACAACTTGTTGTCATGATTCTAATTAGAATAGTTTCCGAAACCTTTTCCTTAAAACAAAAATACCACTAATGGTTGATCGTGAAAACACTATATGCTCTAATATGGTACAATGTCACTCCACGGTCCAACCACTAGTACCACTAATGTTCTAAAGACATTTTTCTTATGGTGGTTTTAGTGGAGTGTAATAGAGCCGTACATCCCTTATGGTCAACTCTGATGTACGCTCTTAAGTGTCCTCTGTAACATACACAAACATGTATGTCGTTCTGAAACTTTTCCCGGCATCCGCCATGTGAAAACCATCACCTTTAGTCCAGAACGAAAGTCTCAAATATGATGCCCAATCACATTCAGCTTCTGCACAAATTTAAGAGTCTTTTTACTTTAACCTTTATGACTCTATGGACCACTATCTTTAATTCGAGTTTTTTTAGGATTAACTTGAAACTCTTTACTTTAAACTTTAGTTTTTTTTACTTTAAAAAATATATATCAAGCAACAATGACCAAAAACACAATGCTGCTAATATAAAAATCAGCACAATCGTTTCTTTATGAGCTCAAATCAATCCAGAATATAGTACTTGAAAATAAAACAAAACTACTACGACAACTAAATATCACTGATCATATAGAATCGAAAGACTCTAAAACACCCATACTGGATACATGTTTTGTGAAGAGCCCTGGAGAAATTTCCTTAGTTAAGGGATCAGCAATCATCAACTGAGTCGGCAGATGAGGAACCTCAATCAATCTTTGTTCGACCTTATCAAGGACTAACAAGTACTTCACACCGATGTGCTTATTCCTGCTAGAAAAATTCTTGTTCTTTACAAACTGTACGACTGCCTGATTGTCACAATACAACTTTACTGGTCTCTGAATGTAATCCACCACCTTTAGTTCACTGATGAAATTCTTGAGCCAAGAGGCATGCAATGTTGCTTCAAAAACAGCAACATACTCTACCTCCATGGTGGATGTCGTCACTAAGGACTGCTTGACACTTTTCTAGGAAACTGCTCTAACAAGCAGAAATATATAATCTGATGTTGATTTTCTACTATCAGCACATCCTGTGAAATCTGAATCTGAATAACCGACGACTTCTAGATTTTTAGATCTTCTGTAGACCAACATGAAATCCCTGGTCCTCTGCAAATACCGCAAAACCTTCTTTACAGTTTTCCGATGAGCTACATCAGAATTTTGTTGAAACCTGCCAAATATTCCTATGATATAACTGATGTCTGCCCTGATGCATAACACCGCATACATTAGACTGTCAACTGCAGAGATATACTCCTCAGAGTTCATGAGCTTATGCTCAACTTCATTTCATGGGTATCGAGATTTATTGAACATATCTCTTTGACAACTGGGGCTTCACCTGGTGCACAAAACTTTATTCCATATCACTGAAGGTTTTTTCTCAATATAAGCCCTTTGAGATAAGCCCAACAAGCCTTTATTTCGATCTCTATGGATCTTGATGCCCAAAACATAATGAGCATCTCCGAGGTCTTTCATATCAAAATGTCTCGAAAGAAAAACTTTAGTCTCATGTAGTAGATGAATATCGCTGCTGGCAAGCAATATATAATCTACATACAATACTAGAATGAGAAATCGGCTCCCACTGATTTTGAGGTATATGGTCTCAAACAAGGTTTTCTCGGAAACCATATGACTCATCATGTTGCGAGCAACATATTGATAAGTACGATTTCTTCTTTCAGCTACTCCATTTTGCTGCGGAGAACTTGGGAGAGTGTACTGAGGAACAATGCCTTGTGACCATGATATATGTCGTCCTGATCGCTTTTACCATAGAATTCCCCACCTCGATCAGAACACACATTTAATCTTTCTTTCTAACTGTTTTTTTTAACTTTAACTTGAAAGATCTTGAAAACATCCAGTGCCTCATATTTATGGTGAAGACGAAAAATATAGGCATAGCGCAAAAAATTATCTATGAAGGAGATGAAGTATTGCTAACCACTATGAGAGAGAATGGGAAGGTCCACAAATATCTGTATGAATGAGGTCAAGGAGACCTTCACTCCTGGAGGCTTCAAATTTTCTTAAGTTAGTCATCTTTCCCTTGATACAGTCAACACATGTACCAAAATTAGAGAAATCTAACTTTTCAAGAACACCAGACTATACTAAGGATTCCAGTCACTTTCTTGAAGCATGTCCCAATCTCCGATGCCAAAGTATGGAAGAATTACTATTAAGCCTAGGACGCTTTGTACCATAAGAAAATGAATCCACAGACATAGAGAGAGGGGAAAGAAAAGATGCATCCAAATTTAATCTATAAAGATCGTCAATTAAGAAATCATGTCTGATAACATCCAAACCATTTTGATAGAAACAAAACTATTCTCAAAAACAAAACTATAACCAGATTCAGAAAATCTAGAAACTGAAATAAAATTCATTCTCATAGGAGGTACATAGAAAGTGTGATAAAACTAAGGAAACTCCAGAATCCAAGCGCAGACTGAATGTCCCAACGAGCTCCACCTCCAAAGGTTGTGAGTTTTCCAAAAGTAGTTGCTCATTTGTCCTTGCCTTTCGACTATGGATTATTCCCTCCCTTCTTCTTCAGCCACTGCTTATACTTCAGACAATCTCTCTTCATATGACCAGGTTTCTTACAGAAAAAACATTTAACATTTTCACTTGCTGAAGAAGTGCTAGAAATAGTTGAAAGATTGCTGAAAGACTTCTTCCCCTTATTGTGCCCTTGATACTTGAAGAATTTCTTTCCTGTCTTATTTGGTCCAAGCTTGTCATGTGCTAGATTTGTCATCTCAGCTTTTCCTGTTTTCAGCCGCGTCCCATTTCCTGTCTTGAGAACTGTAGTTCACCTTAAAAGTGTCAAATTTGCTTGGTAGAGAAGTGACTGCAAAATGAACCATCAGATCATCCTCTAACTGAAGTCCCAACTCCCTGAGACGAATGATCAACTGAGAAACCTTCAAAATATGCTGCCGAACATCACCACTTCCATCATATTTCAGCTTAATGAGTTTGATCAGATAATTGTACTGTCTCACTCTAACGGATCCCTCAAACTGCTTCTTGATGGTCTCAAGCAACTCCTTAGCAGTTTCACAAGCCAGAATCCCTCCACGAATAGTCTGGTCCACCGATGCTCTAATGATCAGCATTGCAAGCTTGTTGGCTTTGACCCACTTAGCATGAGATTTTTTTTCAGATTGACTTGATGACTCATCAAGCTCTTTTGGCTTATCTTCGGTGAGAACATAGTCGTAGTCAAGACACCTAAGTACTATTTCAACTTGCATCTTCCAGTTGCCATAGTTGGAACCGGTTAGGGGCTCAATCCCAGTCAGATGCTTCTGGATAAACTGTCTGTCCATCTGCATTACACCATGGACGTATAAATCAAATGAGACCTTTAATTTTATTAACTTTAATATTTCCACATCCAATTTAGGTTTAGAATGGATGGGTCAGAGTGTTTATCATCTCATCACATCTTTGGGCAAGTGATTTGACATGCTATTCGCCCCCCCAAATGTGATATATAATCACCTACAGAACTAGCCTACACAGTATCAGTTTGATTTGAACACTTCCTAACCTTTTGGGCAATAAGGTTATTCTCCTCTCACTGACATGTTTCAACTCTCCTGCACCACTTATCCTGTAGGGGATTTCCTAGACACCTTTGGGCAAGACTAGTAGTCCACCCACAGATAAGTGCAACCTACCAGTCCAAATGAGACTAAACTCAACCTTAGAAAATTAGGGTATTATAGGTTGGTCATCTTTGGGCAAGACACTAACCTACTCTACCATAATTTCTAAGTGACTATTTTACTGATCTTCCTTAACCCCATAGGTTGATCTAATACTGTAATCCGTTTTATCATGAACCCAAATATTTATCCCACCTGAATTAAGTATATAATCAGGGTAAATCAATTACCTTTATGTGCATACAATAATCTTTATGAATTGTCCAAATTCTTGTATTAAAACTTTATAAAATGAAAATAAAAACTATGTAGTTGAAAAAGTACACAGAATGATCTTTCCAATGACTATTTATGGACTCAAATCGGACTTAAAACGGATCTGTAGCGATCAAAACAAAATGAATGGTCAAAACTATAATCGGTCGGGTCTGAAAATTAATGGGTCTGGCCAATTACATAATGGGTTGGGTCAGATTTTAATGGATCCAATCCATTACTGTACAGGTCGGGTCCATTACATATTGGATCAGGTCTTCCTTAATGGGTTATAGAGTTATATATAACTCAAATAATAAAAGTAGTTAATTATACTAATTAATCTAATTATTTAATACTTAAATTAATTAACTAATAATAACCCTAATTAAAACCCTAACCCTAATCCCACCCGACCAAGAGGCTGCGGCCGCCATCACCCATTACAGACCTGGCCCTCCGTGACCCGGCCCTCCGCCACCGGCTGCATCCTCGTTGTCGGCCAGATGGCCCAGATCAGCCATTGGCATGGCCCAACGAAGGGACCATGAAGAGCATGAAGATCAGTCATGGCCATGAAGATCAGATCTTCTGATCCTAATTAGATCTCACTATTTCCAAGTACTATTCATGTCTCGTATTTGAATTCATGAAGAGGAAGAAAACTCCAGCATGGCTTTTGGAGGCATAAAAAAAATCATCTTTGGGTTCTAATTAGCATCTGGCCATGGCTGAAATCCAACGAAATCGGACAGAACGTTCACAATCTAGCTTTAATTTTAGATCAACTTTGAATAATTTTTCCAGCAGTTTGACGAAATCGAAATCAAACAATTCAAAAAACTTTTCCAGCAACTCAAAGAAACTTTAAATAAATCATGGCCGCAGAACGTTCGGAGGGCTTTGACGGCAAACGACAAACAAAAGAAAACCCAAAAACAGCTTTGAATATATTTTTTTAATTAATCCGAAAAAAAACTTTAATTCTAGATCAAAAATTCATGCACAATCTAGCTCTGATACCATTGTTGGATAATATAACGATCTAGACATGAATAATTGAACTAGAAATTCAGATTAATGTTACCGATCACCGACGACAATAATGGAAGTCTTCTCCTCTCTCTTCCCGTAGCCAATGATGGGAATTAGGTCTCTTTTTTGCGTACGGTTGAGAGGAGTGACTCTCACCCTTTATATAGATATTTGTGATTACCCATCATGGTTTAATCACAACCGTAGGATTACACTACGGTCGATCCTATCCTTCAGATATTCAAGATAACCACCCAACTTGATAAACATGAAACTGTCTAACCAAACCATGTGGTTAGCATCCTGATCCTAATTTGAATCGATGACAACTTTAAATCAAATCCAAAATCGAGTAGGTTGGGCCACATGGGTTCGTTGGATTAATCGAACCCAACAACTTTCCTGATTAATTGTCATTTTTCTTTTTTGGATTATTGTGATGAGTTTTCGCTCCTAGTAGCAATTTTTTTATTTATTTGATGTTTCTTTTTGCTAGGCTATTCTATGTGTACTTCTTGTTAGGCTCCGTGTTATTTCTATCAAAAAAAAAAAAAAAAATCAAATCGGCTGCGGAACGCCGCTTGTAACTTTTGACTCCTCCATGAAAGAGGTGGCCAGATCTTAGTTTCAATGTCTCGTTTCTAAAGGGCAATTTGGACGCAATTTCGTATGTGAGCAACATGATTAACAAAAAGTATTAAATCCAAAACCGACCCTGAATTTCTATGCGCAACGCGCTGGATAAGGATACAGCAATATTCATTGTGAACGGTTTCCTGTTGTAAAATATTCCTTTCTATTAACGTTTCTTTGCTCTTTGATGGCAGTCAAAATGGTAGATTTAGTTATGGATATGCAAGCTCTCCTGGGAAAAGATCTTCAATGGAAGACTTCTATGAAACTAGAATCGACGGTGTTGACGGAGAAACAGTTGGCTTATTTGGAGTGTTTGATGGTAAGAACTTTTGTCCTCAGAACAATGGGTGGTATGTGTTTCTGTTTTCTAATTGCAGAACTTTTAACTTTTAGATTGTGCATTATAATTTGTGTAAAATTTGTACAAATGTGCAAATAAAACACGTTTTGCATCGATGCATTCTTTTTGACTGCAGCTTATAGATTTCAAATTTTTCTTATTTTACATCATTCTCACAAACAATGAGTTTTGTTTTTGTAGTATTTCACACTTACATATTTTTTGGTCTTATTATATAGGTCATGGGGGTGTTCGAGCAGCGGAGTATGTTAAGCAAAATCTCTTCAGCAATTTGATTAACCACCCAAAGTTTAGAAGCGATACAAAGTCAGCCATAGGTAAAATTCTTTTCCTTGATTTCATGTAAATTATGGATTTGTTATTTACAGCATGCTCAGTTAGCATGTCTATTTGATGCAAAATTTGGAAGTTCAATCTTGGATATGCCTTGGATTAAGCACTTGGAATTTTATAACATGACTTTGCACGAACTGGATAAGAAATCAAGTAGAAAAGATGGGTTATGCATAATGTACAAGTAATGTGACATGGCCGTAGATAGACACAGGAAATGCGTAGAGTGGGAAGCTTCCTTGGTGGAGAGAGGTAGAAGGAGAGGGAGTAAACAATATACTATTAGACAACCCAGTTCAAGAGCCTCTTGCCATTATGGGTTCTGAGGAGGTCACATGCATGCTGTATATTGTGAAGATGCTGTTCCAACAGCTTGAAACCGTGAGATCCAGGTCTTAATAGAACAATATTATCACTACATCAAGGCTCGCCCTTGCAGACAATATTAGCATACATATTTTTTATTCAACGCATCCAGGATTGTTGATCCCAAAAAAGGAATTAAAAAAAATCAAATATTATGTCAATGTTTGTTATTGTAGGCACTCTCATGAATAAAGTTTTCATGACATTTGTAATTTAAGGTATGCATATCGATTTCCTTAAGAAACCGCATGTACTGGATGGATGCGCTGGCTTTTAGTTGAGGCTGAATTGGTTCGGTTATGGGATTTACTTTGACCAATTTGACCAAAATAAAACCCAATTTCTAAATTGAACATTTGTGTAATGGGATGAAATCTTTAACCATGATGCACTAATATTCTCTTCTTCCGCAGCTGAGGCATACAGTCACACAGATTCGGAGTTTCTGAAATCTGAGACGACTCAGAACAAAGATGCTGGGTCAACAGCCTCAACTGCAATCCTTGTTGGTGATAAATTGTTAGTAGCAAATGTTGGGGACTCGAGGGTCGTTATGTGTAAGGGAGGAAAGGGTAAGTCCTCTTATCGTTGTTCATTTTGTGTATTGGTATCTATTTATCTTTCAAGTGTTGAAATGATTTAAGGATTCATATATGCTTTAAATGATTGAGAAGTGTACATTTCCTCTAGAACTCAGACTCTTACTCGATCTATTGTTGAAAAATTCAGCTGTAGCTGTTTCGCGAGACCATAAGCCTGACCAAACTGATGAGCGTCAAAGGATTGAGGATGCAGGAGGATTTGTACTCTGGGCAGGTAAGTTACGCTACATTCTGGTTGCATTTATACGATGTATTCAGGTTAGATGATCCCTTGAGCAAATTCTGAGTACAGGAACTTGGCGGGTTGGTGGTGTTCTTGCTGTCTCTCGAGCATTTGGTGACAGACTCCTGAAGCAGTATGTTGTTGCAGACCCGGAAATTACGGTATGTTTCTCACTGATCTTGATAAGTTAATGTTTCCACATTGCTTTGGATTAGGTATATATAGCACAATAGTACTCAGTAATGGACTGGAGAACCTTTTGGGTAACAAATTCGAATGCATATTGTTCTTTTATGTTGATGCTCTACTTATCATGATAGAACATCCATAGTTGTTCACATGTATGTTGGACTTCCCAAAGGTGCAGGTTATTGCAAGCAGACTTGTAGTGAGAAGACCAATTTACGCTACAGGCCAGTCTATTACTTAGAAGGGCTTTATCATAAATAAGTTACTATCAGGAACAGTATTGTGCAAGTTGTAGAGCAATTTCTGAAGTTCTGTCTTGAGTTCACTGCAAGTTTAAGCTTGAGCAGTAACTATGATTTCGTCGACGTGCCTTGTTTACAACTTTCTGTTTATCAACTGTGCATGTTAGATCCATGGGATCGGTATGGATCTCATAAAAATGGTTCACTCCTTGCTGATCTGCGAGGCATTAAATAAATACACACATACCTTAATGAAGGCACATTGTAATATGTATTAATGAAACAGGGTGACCAATATACAGATAATGTGGTTATATGCAGGAAGAGGTTGTTGACGGTTCTCTTGAATTTCTTATCCTTGCAAGTGATGGGCTATGGGACGTCGTAACGAACGAGGTACTCAAAATATTCCAAAACATTGTAACCTCACTTTGATCCGTATTGAAAATCTTCTCATGCATATGACTAAATTTCCCAATTTCAGGAGGCCGTTGCAATGGTGAAGCCTATTGAAAACCCAGAAGAGGCAGCAAAGAAACTGATGCAGGAAGCTTCTCAACGAGGCAGTGTCGATAATATCACCTGTGTTGTGGTTCGCTTCTTAGGAAGCCAGGGCAGCGGCGAAAAATGCGAGCAACACTGAAGGATCTTTGGGTTTTATGCTTGATTCTTCTTGGAACTAATTGAAGCTGGGACTAAGAGAAGTTTAAATAGAGTGAAGTTTTGAAGAGAATTTCACTAAAAAGTGGAAATCATGCTTGTTAAATTATCATCGGCAGCTGATTGAATGTATTCTCAATATCTGGGAAATGTTGTATTTGTTTCATTGTTCTTGATTGTTGTAAAAATTGTTTCAGATGAAAGAGTGGATGACTGTCACTTTCAACTCGTGTTCATGAGCGTGTACCGAATAAATTTCTGTAAATTTTCTATTACATACTGACATTATTCTTTGAATCCCGAATATCTTTTTTTAAAAATATATATTTTTACTTTGTCAACCTCTCTCTCTCTCTCTTCCCAAGCACTCACATTTACGTTTAGGGTCTGTTTGTTTGCTAAAAAAAATGAGAAATGTGTTGCCACCTCAACTTTCAAGAAATGTCCCATGTGCCACATGGGTTTTTGTTTTCAAGAGGTTTCCATTTCAAGTGTTTGTTTCGTTTTTAATTTTCAAGAAATGAAGTGCCACGTAAGATGCCACCTCATATTTTTAAGAAATGTGTTTTCACAACAAAATGGGTTGAAAACACTTGGAAATGTCCCATCTGAGAATTATTAATTAATAAAAACACTGTTTATGAGGTTATGAAGAATAAAACATATCATTTAAATTGATTTTCTCTCTTTTCATTTTTTTTTGTTCTCAAACAAACAAAAGAAATGGAAATGTCCAACACTGTTACTATGGAGGTTTTTTTTGTTTTTTGTGTGACTTGGCAGTGAAAAGGGGGGTTTTCTTTGTGAAACAAGCAAAAGAAAAGAAAACTGTGAAATGTCTTGAAATGTCATAAAAGCATTTGAAATGTGACATTTCCATTTCCTTTTTTTTTGGGGGAAATAGCCAAACAGGCCCTTAGTGACAGGGAATCTTTGATGTAAAAAAACTATCCGGTATGAAGAAACCATCATAGATTTTAATTATTTTTATTGTAAATAAATGAAGGGGCTTCTTTTGTAATTTAACCCAGTCACTAGAGACTGGTCACAATAATAAGTCCACACTGGAGACTGGGAAGATGACGTGCGGTGCGTCTCCATCCATCCATCCATCGTTTATCTTCATCTCCCTGTCTCTTTGTCGCAGCAAATCGTGGTGAGCCCCTCCCTTTCACCGTCTCTCGCATCATTAGGTTTCAGTCTGCATTTTAGATATTTTATCTGAGAATTGTGAGGTCTGGATCTGGGGAATGGCATCGATGAGGAGAGCGGCGACCTTGGCCCTGATGTTGGCGGCGATTGCGGTTTTTGTCGTCGGATCTGATGCTTCTGTTGACGCGTCGGAGGGCAAGAGGGAGTTCGTCCGCTCAACGGTGTCTTCTCATGACGTCGTCATTTTCTCCAAATCCTACTGCCCGTAACTCTCTCTCTCTCTCCATCTCCATCCCTTATTATTATTATTATTATTATTATTTAAATTAGGGTGAATTTCTGATGGATGCCTGTCTTCGTTAGAAAATAGGAAGAGATATTATTTCCCTCTTACCTACCTGCACATTTTATCATGAGAGTGAGGGCATCGGGCGAATGCCGAGACGCATCGATGCTTCGAATGAGACTTTTGAGTTAATTTAAGTGACGAACTTGGTTTGAGATCTCGATGTCTGTCGCGGTTCTAGTTTGTCTTTTACTGGTGTTTGTATCGATCAGAATAATAGGGGAGGACCATCTTGAGTGCAATAAAAGAGAAGCCATGGAGAACTTTTTTCCCCTTTCACCCCTCCCTCCTATTTTTCTGATGATGCAAGCATAAGGTAACTTATCGGGAACTTGTTGTGCGCAGCGGAACTCGAAAGCCAAATAGTACACGAACAAGAACGAGAAAGATCATAACCAAAACACAAGCACAAATCACAATCACAACAAGAAAAACCAATTTACGTGGTTCGACAAGTTGCCTACCTCCACGGGGTAAGAAGGGGGGGTTTCTTACTATTAGAGATTAAGAGAATAACAAATAGGGTTATAAATCTCACCAAAAACCCTCAAACAAAGCTCTCTAGATCTCTCTCAAATCCTCCCACAAATGATGCACAATACTCTCTCAAAAGCTGCTCAAAGTTGTTCTTAATTAATTCTAATTAATCAGGTTTATGGTTATATATCAACACAAAACGAAAAGGATAAGAAAACAAAGCCCAAAGCCCAGACTCAGACCCGAGTCGCGGTCGACCGCACTTGACTCCGCGGTCGACCGGACAGAATGACAAAAAACTCGTAAAATCGATTACAGAGTCCGCGGTCGACCGCACTTGACGCCGTGATCGACCGAACAGAAATCCGAAAATGCACCATGTAGTGTGCACGCTTGTCGGTCAACCACAACTGATCTCGTGGTCGACCGGAAAGTTTCCAAACATTTTCCTGCGTATAATTTCTTGAACTTTTTCACCGTTTCTTCAATTCTCCACCTCGGCGAAGTTTTTCTCAAAACTGAGCCGACACAAAAAAAAACCAAATGTCCCACTTGTTGCGTCCAATACGAAGTGAAGTAAATCCATGACAACGAACTCAATCCACAATAAGTCGGGGACCCAAACGAGAGCTCAAACAATCTTCCCCCATCAAATCAACAAATCCAACTGGCTGCATTGAAAAGACTACCTACGTATCCTCTTGTCTAAGGAATCAAACCGAACGTAATTCACCCAAATGGCCTCCAAAGGCCCTCAACATTGAAGAATGTTCAATAGCTTCAAACAATGATCAAATTTCACACCTGAAACAACTTTGATCAACATATTCACAGGGTTGTCCTTCGTGTGGATCTTCTCCAATATGACGTCTCCATCATCCAAAACATCACGAACAAAGTAAAATCCGACATTAATATGCTTCGTGCGTGCATGATAAACCTGGTTCTTTGTCAAATAGATAGCTGACATGCTATCACAATATACCCGAATGGTCTCCTGTGTAATCCCCAAGTCCTCCAACAATCCATGCAACCACAAAGCCTCCTTAACAGCTTCAGTCACCGTCAATACTCCGCCTCTGTAGTAGAGAGAGCCACTGTAGACTGAAGTGTACATCTCTAACATACCGGTGCTCCTGCCAATATAAATATATATCCTGAAGTAGACCGGCGCTTATCAAGATCCCTCGCATAATCTGAATCCACATAGCCAATACAATTCTGCTCATTCTTCTTATTCTTCTGAAAAATCAAACCAACATCCACGGTGCTTTTAATATACTGTAGAATTCACTTCACGACTTCCCAATGATCCTTTCTGGGGTCGTGCATGTATCTCGATACTATGCTCACGGTCTGTGATAAATCTGACCTCTTACACACCATCACCAGTGTAGAAAATAGCGCGTTTCGTAGTGCAAAATAGCACTTAACGTAACGTAGCGTTAACCTAACGTTACATAGCATTTTCAAATAGCGCACGGACAAAATAACGTGCGCTATTTTAGCCATAGCGTAAGCTACGTAACGTAGCGTCGTGGCGTTTTGTAACGTAGGTTATTTTGTTTAATAGCTTGGATTGCTTTTAAAATAATTCAACGGCTGTGATTGACTCTCCCACTTCTCATAAGTTATTAAATTCTAACAAAACCCTAACTCTTGCTATCATCGTCGTCTCTTGCCGCCCCTTTCGACATCGTCGTCCTCTCCCGCCATTCAACTTCTGAAATTAGCAAGGTAAATACATAATACAATCTTGAATACTGATAATCAGATTATGTTTCACACTTAAAGCCATAAAAATTAATATGTGTGGAAGGGTGAGCTTGACTTGTTCCCTGAAGTTGCCATTGTTTTACTCTTTAACATGATTAGCGTGAGAAATTTGATCTATTTGGCTGGAACACACGATGTTAGGTTTCGGTTAGTTATTGATCTATCGTCGAATTTCGCCTTTGGATTGATCGTTAAGGCAAACACGGTTGATTTTGTTGTGAAATTGTGATCATATATTGATTTGTGAAATTAAGAATTGCGATGATTATTCATATTTTTTATTTTGAATGTTATATATCTATAAATTATTTAAATAATAATAAATTATTTAACCTACGTTACGCTATGCGTTATCGCTATTGTAACCTAATCGGAGGTAAGCGTTACGCTATGCGTTATCGCTATTTTCAACATTGACTATCGCATACATCAAGCTACCTACCGTACTGACATATGGAACCTTTGGGGGGTTATTCATTGGTGTAATTTGGGGGATAATGGGATAATTTTTGGAACATCACTTTTTGGTGTTATTCATTAGGGTAATTGGAACTAGAGTCAACTTTGTTGTGTTATTGGTTTGTTGGGGTAATTGGGGGATAAATACTCTATTTTTCCCTAAATTACACCAACTATATAAAGATCCCCTCCACCTCTTCCTTATAATTACCCCAAATTTACCCCATCCTTCATATTGGAACAATGTTGTTCCACTTTGAAGGTATTTGAGATAATTTTAAAATATTTTTGTATTACTTAACTAATATTTGCTAATTATATTATAAATATATGATATGATATATAAAATATAACATATATTAATAGTTTAATAACGTAATTTAATAACACATTAATAATATTATATAATAATAATTATAGTATAACGTATTTATTATAATATTATATAATATTTTAAGAACATATATTAAAATTTTAATAACATATATTAATAATATTATATTATAACATATATTAATATTTTAATAACATATATATAATATTTAATAACATATATTAATAGTATTATGTAATATGTTATTATATAATATTAATTAATAATTATAGTATAACGTATTTATTATAATATTTTAATAACATATATTATTATATAATATATTATTATATAATTAATTTATAAAATATTATTATAGTTATTATATATGACATACTATTATAATATAATATAATAATTACAAATATTAGTGAAATAGTATAATATAATATAATATAATACTATAGTTTGAAATAATATAATATATTATACTATAACACGATACCTTTTAATATATATTATTGTAATTATCATGTTTTATATATATAGAGAGTAAAACTCCTATCCACTTAAGTGGATAGAAGGTCTTATCCACCAAACTTTTTATCCACTCATATTGTCTTAAGATTTGTGCCATCAAAAGATGCACAAATCTTAAAAGATTCTTCATATCTATCACGGATCCCAATGCAATATCAACGGTTAAAAAAGTTGGTGGATGACTTATTCCTATCCACTTAAGTTGACATAAGCTTTTACATATATATATATATATATATATATATATATATATATATATATATATATATATATATATATATATATATATTTAAATTAAATAATATATTATTAAAATATTATATTAAATATATTATTCATATATTATATCAATTATTATTTAATGTAGCATACTAAAATAATGTTAATTAGTAATTATTGTATAACATATTATATTTTTGTATAAATAAAATAATGTATAATATTAAATATTATATTATTAAAATATTATATTAAATATATTGATATTATATTATATTAATTATTATATATAGTATAGCATGCTAATATAATATAGTATAATACAATATAATAATTAATAATAGTAATTTGTAAGTATAGTACAATATATTATTTTTTAATATAAAGTAAAATAATATTTATATTTTATATTATAATATACTAAACCAATTGGATAAATTAATTTAGAAGTAATTAATAGATAAAATTATATTTTAATAAGGTGTCACATCATCAATTATCCCACATGAATTGTCAAATCAAATGCTCAAATTATCCCATTATCCCACTTTATCCCACTTCACCCCACTCAAAATATCCCAAAGGGGTAAAATTGTTCTATTGGAATAATTTTTCCACTTGGCCCCAATTTGTCCCAACCAATAACCCCCCTTGACATATAATCTCTATCCTTAACTGAGACAGGTGACATTAAAGCTGAAAGCTTGAAGTGGGGAGCCAATGGAGTACTCACAGCCTTTGCATTACCATCAAAACTGAATTTCTTCAACATCTTCTGCAAGTAACTCATCTGTGTAAGGTTTAATCTCCCCTTTATCCTGTCTCGCTCAATCTTCATACCCAATATCTTCTTAGCTTCTCCAAGATCGTTCATCTCAAACTCGGATGACAGCTTCTTTTTTAACTTTCGAATAGTCAAAAAATTCCTGAAAATAATAAGCATATCATCAACATATAATAACAAATAAATGTACTTACCGTCTTGTAGGTTGTGCATGTAAACATATGGGTCATATAGTCTCCTCGTGTATCCATGGCCAATCATGAAGCTGTCGAATCTCTTGTACCACTGTCGCGACGATTGCTTCAAACCATAAAGAGACTTTTTCAGCTTGCACATCAAATCTTCCTTTTCTACAGCTTTGAATCCCAATGGTTGTGTCATATAGATCTCCTCATCTAAATCTCTGTGTAGAAAGGCTGTCTTAACATCCATCTGAACCAAATCCAAATCCAGCTGTGTCACCAATGCCAATAAAATCTGAAACGACGAATGCTTCACAACGGGTAAAAATACCTTGTTGTAATCAACGTCCTCAAGCTATGCATATCTTTTGGCAACCGATTTGGCTTTGTACCTAATGTCCCCAATAGAAGATCACTCATTCTTCGCATATACCCACTTGCAATCAATAGCTTTCTTTCCTTTAGGCAGCTTTGCAAGTTTTCAAGTGTCGTTCTTCTGAAGAGACCGCATCTCCTCCTCCATAGCTTCCCTCCACCTGATCAAATCAGAGCTAGATTCTGGCTCCCTGAATGTAGAAGGAACCATATCATCAACGACCTCCACTGATAAAGCATATGCAATTATGACATAATTGTATCTAGTTGGCCGACGAATCACTCTTCTAGATCTATTTACTACAATAGACTCCTGAGCATGATCCTACTCCTGAGTCTCACCATTCACTGTATCATTCAAATGTCCGTCTGCCATCCCATCTCCTTCTAGTGTCACCTATGTAGGAGTCTTAATGGATACAATACTATCTGAAGTAGGTGGAGTCATATCATCTTCTACCTGCTGTGATATCCTACTAATCTGGTCTTCCTCCACCTGCTGAGGGACTCGAGGCGTCATCATGTACACCTCATCAAATATGATATCTCTGGTAATGACTATCTTCTTATCCTATGAATCTCATAACTTGAAGCCTTTAACATCTTCTCTAAATCCCACAAAGATAGTTTTTCTCGGCATTGGATTCAATTTTTCATCATTAACATGATAATAAGCAGGATACCCGAATATCCGAAGTGACTCATAGTCACTAGCCACTGAACCAGATCATCGCTCCATAGGGCTCTTTCCCTATATCACAGTGCACGACAACCTATTGACGAGATGACTAGCATAAACTAACGTCTCGGTCCAAAAGGATCTAGGCAATCCACTCTGTATCATCATACATCACACCTTCTCCAGCAAGGTACGATTTAATCTCTCAGTCACCCCGTTTTGTTGCGGTGTCTCTCGAACTGTGAAGTGTCGCCTAATGCCGTGATCCCGGTAAAATTACAGAAATGGATCACTTTTATACTCTTCATCATTATCTGAACGAAGAGTCTTCACATTTTTACCTGTCTGCAGCTCCACTTTCTTCTTCCACTCCATAAAAATATCCAGGATCTCATGTTTATGCTTCATTATATATACCAAATTTCTCCTGGAATAGTCATCAATGAAAATAACAAAATAGTTGGTCTCACCAAGTGATGTGTACTTGGAAGGGCTTCAAACATCTGTGTGAATATAATCCAATATACCTTATGTGTTGCGAATAGCGGTGCGAATTTTACTCTAGTCTTCTTCCCAAGTACACAATGCTCACACAGTTCCATCTTGCAGGTTTTCGCACCTTTCAATAGCTCATGTTTCGCCAATGTCTGTAAGGACTTATCACCAGTATGTCCTAAACGCATGTGTCATAAGCTGGTAGTGTCCTCTGTAGTGATAGAAGCTGCCAGACCCCTTGTAACTGTCTTGCCCTTCAAGAAGTATAGGTTATTTTTCCTAATACCTCGCATCACCACCATAGAACCCTTCGTAACTTTTATAGTAGCATCCTCTAAAATCACCTGATAACCTGCTGTCTATAAAGTATCAAGAGAAATGATGTTCTTCGTCAACTACAGCACGAACCTCACTTCTTTCAACTCCCTAATCACCTCGTCTTGCATCCTTATCCGGACTGTACCAATTCTACCAATAGAACATACGTGATCATTATCCATGAGCACCATATCCCTTCTTTCCAGCTCCTCAAAGTTAGAGAATCAATCCCTCCTAGTACAAATATAAAATATAGCTCCCTAATCCAACATCTACTTCGTAGAGTCGGCATAGCAAACTGACGGTAGTGCAGAGCATGAATAGCCTGAAGAATCTGAATCTGAATGTTCGCCAACAGCTTTTGCAACATTTACTTCTAAAGCTTGTACAACTTTTCTCTTGTTCTTCCCGATTTTATCCTTCAACTTTGGACAGTCAATCTTCAAATGTCCCTCTTTTTTACAAAAACGACATTGATTTCTACCAATACTCTTATGTGCATCTCTATTCTTCGATTTTAAGCGGTTGAACTGACGGCGGTTTGGACTTCAGTCTCGAACTGCTAATGTATCTCCCGATGCCTTCTCGGAGGGTTCGCCATCACTCTTCCTCAACTCATAGTTCACCAATGCTGAGGTCGCATCTTTGTAGCTAAAATTAGTTCTTCCATTTATCATAATAAGAACAAACGTATCATAATCATCATCTGGTAACGAACACAAAAGTAGCATCACATTGTCTTCATCCTCAACCATGATATCCACATTAGTCATATCTGAAAGCAACTTTGTGAAGTTATTTACATGCTCCCTAATGGAAACTCTCTTCATCTTGAACTGGTAAAATCTCTTCTTCAAGTGAAGCCGATTCTCGATGTTCTTAGTAAGATACTTCTCATTGAGTGTTTCCCACAATCTCTTCGCCGACGTCTTGTTCATCACATCATAAATAAGATCTGGCGTCAAGCATGACCGAATAACTTCACAAGCTCTACTGTTCATCTTCTTCCAAACATTGTCTTTCATGTCTTCAGGTTTCTCTTGTAACTCAAGAGGCTCCTCCAAATTCTGTGCATCCAATGCATCCATCACATGATATCTTCACAAACTAAAATTAATCTTGCCATCAAACTTCGGAATATTAATCTTAGTGTAATTGATGCTCAGACTTTGTATCACCTTCGTAAGAGACGACCCCGATGTGCTTGCTTCTCCCATGTTGTAAATCTAACTCTCCAAGTAAGAATCCTTCAGCGAATCCTTCGAACAAGCCCCAAACCAAACCTGAAGCTCTGAGACCACTTGTTGTGCGCAACGAAACTCGAAAGCCAAATAGTGCACGAATAAGAACGAGAAAGATCACAACCAAAACACAAACACAAATCACAATCACAGCAGACAAACCAATTTACGTGGTTCGGCAAGTTGTCTACATCCACAGGCAAGGAGGAGGAAGTTCTTACTATTAGAGATGAAGAGAATTACAAATAGAGTTACAAATCTCACTAAAAACCCTCAAACAAAGCTCTCTAGATCTCTCTCAAATCCTCCCACAAAGGATGCACAATACTCTCTCAAAAGTTGCTCAAAATCATCCTTAATTAACCCTAATTAATTAGGTTTAGGGTTATATATCAACGCAAAACGAAACGGGTCAAAAAACAAAGCCTAGGCTCAGACCCGAGTCGCGATCGACCGCACTTAACTCCGCGGTCGACCGAACAAAATGACAGAAAACTCATAAAATCGATTACAGGATCCGCGGTCGATCACACTTGACGCCTCGGTCGACCAGACATAAATCCGAAAATACACCCTGTAGTGTGCACGTTTGTCAGTCGACCGCATCTGATCTCGAGGTCGACCGGCAAGCTTCCAAACAGTTTCCTGCGTGTAATTTCCTGAACTTTTTCGCCGTTTCTTCAGTACCCAAAACGTGGGTAGCATATCTGCAATATTTCCTTCAATTAAATGAAGAGGTGTCTTGGATGATTGTGTGCGACACCCTTCCGTGTGTATCTTGATCTTTAAAATTTCTTCGTTAGCAATTTATCGTTGGTTTGCGTGTGGATTCAAATTTACATGCGTGCATTCTTAATGTGTCTTCAACATTTTCTTCCTTCCGGTTTAGCTCATTTCCTATGGGAATACATCTCATTTTTTTACCACTCATTTTCTGCCTATTCACAGGTACTGCAGGAGAGCAAAAGGTGTTTTTCAAGAACTGAAAAAAGTGCCATACATTGTGGAGCTGGACCAAAGAGGTACATGCCTCATTCTTTTTAATTTCAGCTTAATTATGAACAAGTTAATCTCTGTTGTCGCTCGTTCCTTAAGCTGTTATTCTATGTTACCGCTTATCTAAATTGCTGATTTTGCACCAGTATCTGTTTCTTAATACCTTCTACCCACGGAAGATCGCGACTTAAGTTTCAACGCTGTTTGATTTTTTACTTTCTTCCTTTCTTGTAGAGGATGGATATGAGATCCAAGATGCCCTGTCTCAGATTGTTGGGAGGCGTACTGTTCCCCAAGTATTCATCAACGGAAAGCATATAGGGGGTTCTGATGGTAAAATACTAGAGATCTTCCCTCATTACCTCTTCGTGGAGTCAGCTTATATGATTCTAACATGAATTGTGATTTTTACTGTGTCAGATACTCTCGAAGCCTTTGAAAGCGGTAAGCTGGCAGAGCTTCTGGGTATCAGCTCGGAAGCTGATCTTTAATTGAGCTGAACTTTAATTGGGGTCCTTGCTGCTTGTCACATTTATCTCATGATTATCAGGTTTTGTTAGACCGAAGGATTTGCATTTTGAATTTGGGGTGTTATCAGATTGTTATGATATTACTATTCTTCTCGGCTTAAAATCTGCATCAGTTTACTATGTTGGTTCTTACTTGGAGCTTTGGTATAACGGTTAGAGACTTTAAGGTGGTATCAGAGCAACGCAAGCTTAAATCCTGTTGGCAACAAATTTAATGTGGATTTTAAGAAAATTGATGCCGTTTGCATGAGTCTTAAGTTTCTATGTGGAAGGTAAACCCCTGTACTCTTGAACCGGTGTGGGCTCTGTTGGATCGCACCTCATACGTAGTGACATGAAGCTGTGAATGATATTAGACAATACGCGGAGATGATATCAACCCCGGTAACTGTCAGTGCTCTGCTTTGTTTTAAAACTGAAAAATGTGGACTTCGTACGTATCTACAAATACAACGACAACATTTACATTTAGGGCGCGTTTGGAACCAAAAAAAAGGAGGGTTTTTTGGGTGAAAGCCTGACACAATGTCAGGCTTTCACCCTAAAACGCCTCTAAAAAATTTTTGTTCCAAACATGCCCTAGCTTGTGGTTGTACTTCGCATCAACTGCTGACTGAATAAAATTAAGTTGCAAGTTAAAAGAGAAAACAATTTAGAAAGGTTTTTCTTGGTTTTACAATAGGTGCAATGAGGTGGAGAGATGTACATTAGTTTAAGGCTTCATGCCTGGTTGGAGGGGGGAGGAGAGAGAATGAACAACTATATCGATAGTTCATTTTCTCACTCCTCTTGTGTCCTCCCAATTTGAAGTGGTTTTTTTCTCTTTATTTTTCTAGTTCATTTTGGCTTATCCCTTCCGACGTCACCCCACGTTCCTCTCCCTCTCTAAAAATCCTCTACCAAACATACATATGAATTTTGTCGAGGAAGTCATCGATTACAGGGTGAAGTCGACTGCGTTCATGACTAACCGTTCAACTGATTTGTCTCAGGGGTGGGGTCCTAGAAAAGTACCTTGTTTCTTTGTTTGGGGGTCATTCTTGGGTAACAGTTAGCCCCCCATCTTCCGTCATCCTAATTAAGAACATGAAGCCAAAAAAAAAAAAAAAAAAAAAAGA